TCAGTTTTATCGTAGTTTGTATAATTTGTTGATATATCCTAAAATTGTAAATTTAATAGACATTTACCATGGTTATGAGAAACCAAAATTTGCAAATTAATGTTTGTTTGATTTTTTAACAGAGCCTGTTTTTTTATTAGATAGTTTAAACTAAAATAATTAAGCATGGATGATCAAGTTTGTGGGGTAGTTAGATTACTGTTACATGTTGATTTATATTTTAGGATAATGAGCTTTCCAAAATTGGTGAGGAAACCATAAACGAATTTGTTAGGAGAAGCCATAAGAAGCTGGTCTGCAATAAAATTCAAGGAAAATATAGTTGGCTAGGGAAAAAGCAATATAAAACTTTTGAAGACACACATATAGCTCTGATTTTAAAAGGTTTGTAACTGTTAAACATAAATCAATCTAAGGAACATTTAAAAACTTACACTATCACTTAAGTGACCATATACAGCCGATGAAGCATATCATTAACTGTGTCTTATATGTAATTTAGATGGCAAATTTTACCATTTCACAAATGTTCAGGTCTGGCTATGAGATTGCTTTAAGAACTACACTTAGCTATATGAGATGAAGGTTTGTTGTTGGCTGTATATTTTATTTATACACTGTTATTTTTGTTTTTTAAGTATTAAAGTGTAATTACTGCTCATTTGATCATTAGAAATAAATACCAATGGTTTTGTTGGTATTCTTCTAGTTCAGGTGAGATCCATTAAAACTGCAGCACTTGAAATTCAGTTGTTTAATCATATGCCTTTGAATGATGATTTATTTACAATAAGCAAAGTATAATGAACTAAATCTGAAATTAATTTGTTCAATTTATTACATTACATTATAGTACATTAATTTTGTTTTCAGATGCTGCCTGGAAAAACTCCAAGACCAGTGTTGCCATGGAGAAGGAAATTGCAACTTGATAATGAAATATCTGAGATGTAAAGAGGAGGCAAATAAAATTTAATTTGCATGTTGCATTAGCAAATATGATTAATTTTGTAATGATTAAATTGTGAGGTTGGTGCACAGAAAGGAACAGTTAATTTTTGAGACTGTTTTATTTATTAAAAATAGGTACCTAAAACTGTATCTACTGCTGAAATAAAACAAAGTTCCATATTGAGTATTGATCTTTTTCATACTTATGATTTCAACTTTAAAACTCAACAATTGACTTGTCTGCTTTCAATTGCCGACCACACACTTGTAAGGTAAATCAGAATGGGAATGGATAAGGGAAGTTGAATGGTTCTGTTTTTAGCAAGCCACAGTTTCAACTATTTTGCCAATTTTTTTAGCAGTATTCACAATCCTTATTTCTCCTGTGTAGACAAGTGTAGTCAAAGATCCCATATCAGTCACAGCCATATTTACTCTTTAACTATTAAAATTTGTGACATTCTAGCATGCTTACAGTGTCTTAATACCAATAAAGGTCTTGGTCCAGATGGAAGTTCGTAACTTATTTTTAAGGAATTGTGCATTCTTTTTATGTAGGCCTCTATGGCTTATTTTTTATAAATCTCTGAGGGTCACTTTTCATCACAATTTATTTATTGATTTTATCCATTGATTCAGCCATTAACTCATTGATTCCTAATTATTGTTCCATTATAATTCTTTCTACTATTCCTAAAATTTTCTAGGCTTTACTGACTAATTTTTTGACAATAAATCTGAAGAATCAGCTTCATACTGGTCAGCATGGTTTACTTACTGTCTAGTTGTTCAACTTCTACTAATTTACACTTATTATGTTATAATTGCATTAAAAAACATTTTTTATGTCGATTAGATTTATACTGACTTGTCGCATCTACTGTTCTTGCAAATTGTGTAGACCATATTCTTATTCGGGTATGATCAATTTCTTGAATCTGGATTCTCTTATTAAAAGTGTTACCTTTTAATCTTTATTTTTAAACTTGTTAATAAAATAACCAATCTCCTGAATTGCTTCAGCTAGTTTGTTTTAATATTCCTCCCATTCACTGTGTCAGTATTTATATTTCCATGTTCCTTACCGCAGAACTAATTATGATTCACACATAGATATGGTCTGAAACTTTTGTATCAATAGGTTTAGGTACTATTTGAAGCACTAAAATGCTAAATGAAACTTTTTATAAATGTGTACCTACCTATTTATTCATGTATATTTTATTTTTATCTGTAATTTTGTATATATCTCTATAATGTTCCATTTTTGTATAATTTTGACAGTGAATTTGTTCCATTTGTTATGAATAAATAAATATATGTAATAATAAATGTTAGTTCCTTTAAACATTTATGTTTTATTTCCCAAAATACATTCTTAATATGCACAGGATGACACCACTTTTAGTATTTTATACAATGGCGTTGACGTCTAATTTATATCCTCAGCACTAAAATAGACGTCCGAGAACATCACAAAAGTCCGTCAAGTAAGTCCTCCGGACGTATTATGGACGTCCGATTAAGGTCCAATTAACGTCCCGGTACGTCCAACTAACGTCCACTCGGGACGTAAAATGGACGTCCATAGGACGTTCGGCGCAGCGACATTCGGACCAATATAGGACGTAAAACGGACGTAAATAGGACCAAAGCGGACGTCCGAGGGACGTCCTTAGAGTCCGTGAGGGACGTACTATGGACGTCCATTGGACGTACGTGTGCTATTAGGGTACATCTTAAAAACAATATATTATTAAAATAACAATCACAAGTTTTAAAAAGTTACACCTTAACAACAATAAATTATTAAAATAACAAACACCTCAGAATAATACAAACATATAAGAATAATACAGATGTACAACCAACTTATTGTAAGATATTTTTTAGTTGTTTTTTAAACAAACTAATTTTGGAGTCAAAAATACCTATTTGTCTTGGCAAGCTATTAGCACTCCGGACCAATCGTGTAGTTGGTTCATTGATATAATTAGTGTGGTGAAATGGCACCGAAAAGATTTCTGATTGTCTGTTGCTTCTACTAGGAACTTTAAGATTAACAAGCGATAAGAGTTGAGGACAATCTATAAAAGCATTGATAACTTTGTGTAAGAAACATAAATCCAACAATGTCCTCCTTGACTCAAGTGTTGGTAAGTTAAGACTATCTCTTACCCACTGATAGTCGTATTCCTCTCTCCTGTATCCACTCTTATAGGCTGCTACCCTCAAAAATGTATTCTGGACTCTTTCAATCTGTTGAATGTAACAGTGGTATGATGGGGACCATACAACTGATCCAAACTCAAGAATGGGCCTAACGAGACCACAATAAAGTCTTTTAAATGTAAATAAAGACAGATCCACAGATGTGCGTTGGATAAATCCCAGCACTTTCATCGCTCTGTTTGTTACTTGGTTAATGTGGCTTGAGAATGACAGTTTGGTGTCTAACCAAATTCCCAAATCTAATACTTCATTTTTCGAGGCTAATGGCAAGTTATTTATGTAGTAAACAAATGTAATTGGATTTCTTTGCCTCGAGAATGTCATTTTATGACATTTGTTTATATTGAGTGACATTTTGTTTAAAGTGCACCAATCATAAAACGATTTAAGATCTTCCTGTAATATAACAGCATCATTCCAGGATTGAATTTTTCTAAACAGTTTTACATCGTCAGCAAACATAAGAACACTACAATTTTTGATTTATTGTACTAAATCAACCAGAAACAAGCAAAACAAAACAGGGCCACAATGGGAGCCTTGTGGTAACGCCTGATGGAACTGTTATTTCAATTGAAGTGTCACTTCCCAAGTTAACTGTCTGCGTACGGCCACTAACAAATTCTGTAATCCACTGAAGAAGGGGATCTAAAATACCCAAAGCTCTTAGTTTTTGTAAGAGGACCCCATGGTTTACCCCATGGTTTACATTAGCACTTTTTCTGTGGAATGAACTGTTCTCTCAGAAACAACGCTTGAAGCTACAGGCGATTTTAAATGTGTTACGCGTGGGAAATCAATTTTAAAACAAAATTTGTATCAACTCGACGGTAGAAATTCGTTCACTTTTGATCAGAGTATCGTATCGACAAAAATGAAAACGGATTAAAGATGAAGAGTTCAGTTTTCGTACGCAACTTTTACATTTTTTCGTAAATAGCAAATATCGTTTAAAAAAGAAAATTTTGAAGAACCGTATCTTGCTTAAAATTAGTGATAGAGACGTATACAGTAACGTGTATAGGTTTTTTTCCCTCATAATTTACTATGGAATCACTTACAGGAGAATTTTACTGTCATCATGTCATGTGTTTGTCTTTTTAAAGACGAATTACATGCTATGATTTTTTTCTGGCGGATATTCTCAAGTTAAAATTGATTTCATGTAATCGAATGAATTATCTTATAAGTACCTAAAGTCGTCGCAGGAGCTCAACTCAACAATATTAGCAATATCATTTTAAAGTCGTCTACTTTAAAATGCATAATGTATGTCTGAATTGTCAATATAGATGAGTCAGATAAAATTAAATTATTAGAAGAATTTTTCACTATGTAACAAAAAACAAAATTTGTTTAATTTACTGTTTGTATTTTGAGAACGATTTCCGAAGTGGAAATTGAAACGTCAATAAACGTATTTTTATCTTTAATTGTGGCTTATTCCCAGTTAAATACTAATTACGATTTTCTGAATTTAGTATATGAAAATATCTAATTTTACTTTTGTTTTTAATTATAAGCCAAAAATAATAACAATCCCATTTAATTATTGATTAGGTACATCTTTATCTCATATTTTATTAAAAAACCAAAATTTGTTAAATTTTTATACAGTACTCGCCATCTACATGTGTAGTAATGTACTATAAGAACAAAAATATATAGTATTCTTACACGTGTGAAAAAAGAAATTGACACATTGACAGTGACAATTCTGACGTAATATAAAGTAAATATTATGCTTTTATCAATTACATTTTTTGTTGTGTTGTATGATTAGTCTATTGTGTATTGTGTCCGTGAAAGTGACTATTTTAATTTAATTTATATAAAATTTTAAATACAAAGACAAGAATTCCTTTAGTGATCCAACATGGCCTGGACACAGCGACAATTATTAATAGCTTTCTTTATGATAATAACCGGCAGTATAAATACGTTAAGTACGAAGTAAGTGCCCACATAAACTCAATTACTTATATATTTTTTCAAATCCAAATAGAATCTTAGAGAAAAATAATTAGATTTGAAGTTAAATTACAAAAACAAGGGGTTGCAGTTTTACCATAATTATATTAATAAATACAAATTTATAGTGACACAGCATTTGAAAGTAGTGAAGGTTATAGACTAAAATAGTAATATTGTGTTTGCAGTGTATTACTCATTTTAATAATTAGAGAACAACGTTTAGCTTATGTAAATATATTCCGAAGAAGTGCTTATAGATTTTTACATCTGTCTATCTTATAGACCATTGGATTTCAATAAGAAGTTCAACCATTCTTTATCCCTTATGCTTTTTGTGTACTGATGTCATATGAGTCAAAAAGAAAAAAAATATAGAGTTAAACTGTGTTCATTTTTCTGAACATAGAATTTTCTGCAACTTTTCTGAGGTAAAATTTTTCATTTTCAGGACCTGCTGTTATGCCTCTTTTGCAGGTTCCTTATCATGTAGACTAACAAACTTTCAAGTGACATGAAGAAGAAAATGGACGGACACTGACCTATTAACATTATATGATTAGGTCATAATTAACATCTTTAGGGCGGCAGTAGCCCTATAGCCAAATTTTTCAAAAATAGAATCCATACTTACTTCTCTATTGATCCATAAAATGGCATGAGGAAGAAAATCGTCACAGTACATGTGATTTTCTTTACAAAAAAAAATTAGTTTTCACACAGATTTACTTAGGAAATCCCACAGTTTTCACATATTTTACTCTTCTCGATTTCATCTTTCAGTACTCTCAGAGGTATAAGGGATAAAATCATGGCTGAACTTCTATTGAAATTCGATGGAACTATTATATCCTTTATTCCATTCATTGTAGAGCATATTAAATGAAAAATCATACAAAATAAAGGTATGTAACCTACTTACCTTTCTTACTTTATTTTTTAATGATAAAACAATAATTTGCCTTGAATATTTTTATTTTAAATTTATTTTCTGCAGGGCATATATGATTAGTTAATATAGTTGCCTTTCATTACTGGTTTTTTAAAATCATAACTTTTGCACTATTTCACAAAAATCACAGAGTTTGTATAGTAAACTAATAAATTGAAGCATAAGGTCATATGTTTCTCATTTTTAAACACAGTTGATTTTATGTTGACCCAAATATAGACATTAGCTTTTAATTTATTATCAAAATACAATTATCAATTGGCCACTTCCTTTACTAATTATGACATATGGTTTAAATGTAAACATTAATTGATATTTGGCATTTTTCAATTTAACTTTGATTTGTAATTATTAATGAAAGTGAGTTATCATTAATATGATGTAATTAACCATTTTCTTTACTTATTCTGACTTTCTACTTATTGCATTTCTAAAATCAGAAAAATTTAATAATTATTTGGTTAAATACAACCAACTATGTCACAACATCCTCTGTATAGTAGTTGGATCTGGATGTGGTAGGAAGAGCTTAAGTACTAAAAATAAAATAAAACTATTAGTCCATATTGAGGATAGATAATTTGTTTTAAAGTCATTTACTTAAAATTAAGATTTGATTTTAATATAAGAGTAATTAAATGTAAGACCAGATACTGACCAGGTTGGGATAGTACCTATCATGAGTTGTTTTCTGGTTTTTCATCATAATTTCCAAATGGGATTACCTTTTGATTTTGTGTTACTTAATTGCTTTTTTAAATACAAATTACATTCTATCATTTTCTTTTTGACAGATTTTTTAAAAAGGTTAATTTCATGTATTTAAATGAAAATTAAATGAAAGATTATATCCTTTAATACTGTTGTCATAAGTTGAACCTGAATACCCTTTAATAAAGTTGTCCCAAGAATGCACTCTAAAAATATTGACAATATAATTGACAGCATAATCATTTTCTGATCATGATTTTTTAAACTTTTATATGAGTCCAATTCCAACAATTTAACCACTCAAATTTCCTTTTATTATTAGTTGTTGATTCACATTATTTTGCAGGATCTTGTTCTTTTAATGCACCAATCTCAATTGAAATCAGCAAGAACTGTAGAACATTGCTTGTTTTCATAAATTTTCTTATAAAATTTGCTAGATCCTCAGCTGTATATGAAGTATATACATGGTATCCCAAAAAAAATGTTTACCCACATAAAAGTCAGCAAAATAAATGTTTGGACAAAAATTCAAATACCTTTTGCAAAAGGGACCAATTTTATGCAAAAGGAATTCTTGTCCAATGTTGGGGGTTGCTTGTATGCCCTACAATTTTTTAAATAGGAAGAAAGTTTAAAACAATTTGTCAATTACAAAGTTATGTAAGTAATTAAATCTCCCTCCAAATTATGAGTTAATTGGCCCCTCTTCCTATTTAAAAATTTATGGGGGGTTGTAACCACCAGGATAAGGTAAAGTTATGTTATAAAAATTATTTTTGCATAAAAATTATTCTTCTTCAACTGGTTTTTGAATTTTTGTCAAAACATTTATTTTAAAAACTTTTGTTGGGAACCTGTGTATATACTGATGTGGCTCTTGGACTTAGCAAAACCGTTGATTGAATAATCCAAATAGATCTGCAGCCGTACACAAATTAAACGTAGCAACTATTCTGTTCTCAAAAACCGTGTCGCCATCTATGTTCGAGAGAGACAATTACACTACGGTTCAACATAAAAGATTTCTTCTCTTCATATTACCTCCCCTTAATTCTCAACGTAAATATTGCTTCCCCACTTTAATTCCTAAATACAATCATACATTCAAACTGTGCATTTTGAAATTCTGTAACTTTTTTCTACGAACTTTTAGGTAGATAGAATGGTACATTTTATAGGAAGAGAAGTCAATTACCGTTACGGTTGTATTCTATTATACGAGGTTGTACGACTATTTTTAAGCAATTTATGGTTTTTCAAAGCTTATACTTTTAAAGATTCTTGATATTTTTTATGATTACTTTTTAAAATTCGCATTAAACTTTTTTTCTGGTATCTTTGGGTATATACCTGACTCAAATTTTTTTAATCAGCAATGTATATATATATATATATATATATATATATATATATATATATATATATATATATATATAGATATTATGTACTTAAAGGTACCAGAAAAAAAGTTATGAGAAATCTTCTTCTTACGGTGCCTATCCGTTCCGGATGTTGGCGATCAACATAGCTATCCTAACTTTGCTTGCTGCTATTCTTAATAGTCCGGTTGCCGATGTATTAAACCACTTTCTCAGGTTTTGAAGCCAAGATATTCTTCTTCTCCCTGGTCCTCTCTTTCCAAATACCTTGCCCTGAAGAATGAGTTGCAACAAGCCGTATCTCTGTTCATTCCTCATAACATGGCCAAGATATTCTAGTTTGCGCTCTTTGATGGTGTTAATAATCTCGCATTCCTTGCCTATTCTACGTAGGACGTCAACATTAGTCACACGATCCACCCAAGAAATTCTTAAGATACGTCTGTAACACCACATCTCGAATGCCTCGAGTTTTCTTAAGGAAGCTTCGGAAAGTGTCCAGGTCTCTACTCCGTATAATAAGGTAGAAAGTACATAGCATCTAATGAGAGAGATTTTGGTAGCAAAGTGGTAAATCGTGACTTCTGAAAAGATCATTATGAACGCTGATCTCGCTTTTCCTATGCGTTGTTTTATTTCACTGGAGTGATCCCATTAGCTGTTAATGTTGGTACCAAGGTATGTGTAGCTGTCCACTCTGTCAATTGGATGTTGGTTAACCAAAAGCTGTGTATTTAATATTTCGCGCTTACTGACTACCATGTACTTTGTTTTCTTCGTATTAAGATCAAGTCCGTGTTCTCTACTTATATGTGATATATGCGACATTATTCTTTGCAAACCGTCCAGACTATCTGCAAAAACTACTGCGTCGTCGGCATATCTACTGTTGTTTAGACGCATTCCGTTGACTAATACGCCTTCTTGTAGTTCTCCCAGCACTTGCTCGAAGATATATTCAGAGTATATATTAAATAACACCGGGGACAGAATGCATCCTTGCCTTACTCCCATATCTATGGAGACTGCCTCTGTCAATTGATCATCCACTTTAATATTGGCTGTTTGTAAGTTTATCATGTTTTACTCTATCAAATGCCTTTTTGTAGTGGATAAAACAAATATACACATCGCAGTTAACATCCAATCAAATATGCTATCAAAAACTCTAAAGACAATAAGGCAGCTGGATTAGATAAAATACCAGTAGAACTCTTAAAACTAGTGGAAGAGGACAACTTGGAAGTATTGACAGATTTATTCAACACGGTGTACGATACGGGAATAATACCACAGGAGTGGCTAAAGTCAGCATTTATAACCATCCCTAAAAAACAAGCAGCAAAAGAGTGCTCTGATTATCGAACACTGAGCCTCATGAGTCATACTTTAAAAGTTCTGCTAAAAATAATACATAAGAGAATATACGAAAGGCTAGAGGAGGATATTAGCGAGACGCAGTTCGGGTTCCGAAATGGAATGGGTACTCGAGAAGGACTATTTGCCATCAACATATTAATTCAGCGATGTCGGGATGTGAATGTTGATCTACACTTGTGCTTCGTTGACTACGAAAAAGCTTTCGATAAAGTAAGACATGAAAAACTAATATCAATACTTATGAACAAGCGCATTGACAGTAAAATCATAAATATAGTGCAAACATTATATTGGAACCAAAGTGCCATAGTTCAAATTGATGGGCAACACTCAGAAGAAATGAGGATCTGTAGAGGAGTTAGACAGGGATGTGTGTTATCACCACTTTTGTTTAACTTATATTCTGAAGAAATTTTCCAAAACACGCTCAATAATATCGAAGCGGGAGTCACCGTTAACGGAAAATTAATTAATAATTTAAGATATGCAGACGACACTGTGATCATAGCAACGAGTATAGAGGATCTACAACATCTTATCGAAAGCTTGAGTATAAA